CATAAATGCCTGAGGTGTTTATACCCAAAATGCCCTAATTTGATTAATTCAAATTGTACGTCTGTATCAAAATATCACATGTACCCTATATACAATGACTATGTATCCATAATAACTAAAAATTAAAGTGGTGAAAAGATACAAAAATAAAAAAGAACAGAAAAATGGAACTACATTCAATTTCAATTTTTCTGCATATCAAAGGAAACATTTAGTAGACTCAAATGCCACCCTTAAAATGGGAGAAAATATTTGCATATTATATATTTGACAGTATATAATCAAAAATTCATAAAGAAATTCCTGAAACTCAACAACAAAAAGTAAATTGACTAAAAATGGACAAAGGATTGAACTGAGATTTCTCCAAAGATACACAGATAGTGAACAAGCAGTTGAAAAGATGCTCAAAATTAATTTTTAGATAAATCCAAAGCAAAATCACAATAAGATATCACCTCAAATACATTAGAATGGCTACGATAAAACAATCTGTCAAGGATGTGGAGAAATTGGAAGCCTGGTGACTATTAGTAGGAAAAAATAATGCAGCCACTATGAATAGTAAAGTAAATAGAAATACTAATGATTCCCCTTTGCCTGCTGTAAACATAAATTTACAAGTGAACATTATAATAAATATGGGGTGCCTATTAATTATCTAATTTGTCCTTATATGTTGTATAAATTCTAGCATATTGTTCTGAATGTTTGAATCTAAAATTACAAACAAATTTGAAATAGAACAAAATAGAAAGGGAACATGCAGAGGGAGAGTGACATCATCAAGACGGTGGGAGTTCTGCTTGTATATCCTTCCACAGAAACAATAATTCGGCAGCCCTCCATGGACAAAAGTGCCTTTATTAGACAGTCAGCCACCATAGCTCGTGTCTGTAATCCCAGCTATTCAGGATGCTTAGGCAGGAAGATCGCTTCAACCCAGGAGTCTGAGCCCAGCATGTGTGATAAAATGAGACCCTGTCTCAAAAGAAGTGCCTTTCTGAGAGCTCTGGGATTCAGGAAAGAGGATATGAAACCCTACTAAACACAAGACCAAGCAGTATTATTTTGAGAAAATAAGCTCTCATATAGGTGGCAATCTTGAGGACCCCTGGTCTTGCCTATAGATGTGAATATAGCCCACCCAACTTGGTCTCACAGAAAATTATGAAGTGACACGGTAAATATCTCCAACTCATCCCAGCCCATGCAGAGTGGTCCTGCAAATCTAGAGATCTGAAGGGAGATGCCCATGCATGGCCATGGAGGCAGCCTGCAGAACTTGGACGTTACTGTGGTCTCTGACGCAACTCTGTGACGCGGCCCCAGCCCTCTCAGCCACAGTCCATGCAGTCCTGCCCACCTAGAGGCCCACCAGTGAGTAACCTGGAGAAACTCTCCATGGGAGCCACACTCACCAACACCCTTGATATCAGGCTCACCATATGTGGACTCAAATGCAGAACCCTGCCCTGGTGCCTGCCCAACTTTTATTAAAGTCCTGAAGGCAATCCAGTCTGCCCAGGTGTCGCGCCCGCCTCGCCAGCAAGGAAGACACGGCAACTGGAGTTCTTCTGACAGCGCTTTAATGGGGATTGCTTAACTGGTTACATGCGGAAGACGCCGAGGCGTTCTCGGCGGCTGCTTATATAGACAGTAAATACACGGGGCATAACCTGATTGGTCAACACAGAACAGGAGAGGAGGCAAGGCTTTGCACATGCGCTGAACATCTGTTTGTCAGACGCACAGTAGGGTGTGACCAGGAAGCGGGCGCCATCTTGGAATGGCGTTGCCACCGTGCCCCACACCCAGGAATAGGACAGGACTCACAACCACCCAAGGCCCTGGTCACAGGCCTACACGCAGATCCAGTAGCAGCACTGTGACCCAAATACAGCCCTTCCTCCAACAAATCCAGCAGGGATCCCATTAGTCTTGGTGCCCCAAAAGAGAAGACCTTTGCCTGCTGAAACCAGTTTAGATAAACTGGAAGAGGTGTCTGCTCCTTTAAATTTACAGATACCCATGCAAAGTTATTGTGCCCATTTTCAGCATTACTATTTTAACATAACACTAAAAGTCCTAAAAAGAACAATTAGGGAAAAAAAAGAAAAAAGAAAAAAGACAAAAAGCCATCCAAATTGAAAAGAAAAATGTTCTTATTTGTAGATGGAATGATCTTATATATAGAAATTCATAAACAGTATACCAAAACTGCTTAAACTAATAAATGTAGTCAGTAATTTTGTAAAATATTAAATTAACATACAAATATCACTTGTGTTTACATACACTAACATGAAACTGTCTAATAAAAAATAATCTCATTTATAATAGCATCAAAATAATAATATTAATAAATTGCTTAGAAATAAATTTAACCAAGGAAATGAAAGATCTTTACTATGAAAAATATTAAGATATTGATGAAAAAATTAAAGATATAAGTAAATATAAAAATTTCCTGTGTTTGTGGATTGGAAGAATAAATATTGCTAAAGTTCCCTATTATCCAAAGCAATCTGTAAATTAAACTGGATTCCTATCAAAATTCCAAGGGCATATTTTACAGTAATAGAAAATATAATTCTAAAATTTATATGAAATTGCAAGAGACTTTGAATACCCAAAGCATTCTTGAGGAATAGAACAAAGCTGTGGTATCATACTTTCCAGTTTCAAACTATGTTTCTGAACTCTAGTAATAAACATGGTATGTGCATAAAACTAACACAAAGACCACTGGAACAGAATAGAGAACCGAGAAATAAACCTATACATGTAAGGTCAACTAATCTCTGACTAGGGCACCAGGGATGCACAATGCAGAAAGTATAGTCCTTCAATACTTGAAAAAACTAGATACCCCCAAGCAAAATAATAAAATTAGACCATTTTTCCTATAGCATACTCAAAAATTAATTAAAAATATAACAGGTTAAAATGGGAAGACATGAATCCTTAAAAATTTTTAAAGTAAACATGTAGTAAAATGTGGCATATGTATACCATGGAGTACTACTCAGCTTTAAGAAACAATGGTGATATAGCACCTCTTGTATATTCCTGGATAGAGCTGGAACCCATTCTACTAAGTGAAGTATCTCAAGAATGGAAAAACCAGCAACACATGTACTCACCAGCAAATTGGTATTAACGGATCAACACCTAAGTGGACATGTAGGAGTAACATTTACTGAGTGTCGGGAGGGTGGGAGGGGGGAGGAAGGGATGGGTATATACAACCACAACGAGTAAGATGTGCAACGTTTGGGGGATGGACACGCTTGAAGCTCTTACTCGATGGGGGAGGGGGGCATGGACAATATAAGTAACCTTAACACTTGTATCCCCATAATACGCTAAATAAAAAAAAACATGTAAAACATTTCCTTGACATTGGTACTGGCAATGATTTTTTGGGATACAACAGCAAAAGTATGGCAACAAAAGCAAATACAGCTGGACTGCATCAAACTATAAGAAAAAGCTCTGCACAGCAAAGGAAACAAAATAAGAAAACCTATAGGATGAAAGAAAATATATGCAAACCATAAAACTGATAAGAAGTTAATATTCAAAATATATAAGAAACTCATACAAGTTGAAGGAATAAAACAATAAAAATATAACTGAAAAATAGGCAAAAGACTAAATAGATATTTTTTCCAATGAAGACATAGAAATGGTCAGCAAGTATATGAAAAGGTGTAAAAGATGATGATCATCAGGCAACTACGAATCAAAACCATAATAAGATATTACTTCATACCTGTTAGTATGGTTAATACCAAAAAAAAAAAAAAATTAGAGTGTTTTCAAGGGTGTGGAGAAAAGTAAAATCTGTGCACTACTGCTTAGTTGTAAATTGGCAGAATCATTAAAAAAAAAGTGTGGTAGTTCTCCAAAAAAAAAAAAAAAACACAAAAAACTAATGTACGTAAAATATGGCAATCCTACTTCTGTGTATAACCATAGGAAATAAGTATCTTTTTTTTTTTTTTTTTTTTTGAGACAGAGTCTCACTTTCTTGCCCAGGCTAGAGTGAGTGCCGTGGCGTCAGCCTGGCTCACAGCAACCTCAATCTCCTGGGCTCAGCGATCCTACTGCCTCAGCCTCCCTAGTAGCTGGGACTACAGGCATGCGCCACCATGCCCGGCTAATTTTTTTTTTTGTATATATATTTTTAGTTAGTCAATTAATTTCTTTCTATATTTTGGTAGAGACGGGGTCTTGCTCAGGCTGGTTTTGAACTCCTGACCTCGAGCAATCCGCCCGCCTCGGCCTCCCAGAGTGCTAGGATTACAGGCGTGAGCCACCGCGCCCGGCGGAAATAAGTATCTTGAAGAAATACCTGCACCCCTGTGTTCACTGCAGTATTATTCACAATTGCCAAGATATAAAAACAAACTAAACATTTGTAAACACTGAATGGATAAAAAATATGGTATATATTAACAATAATAAACCATAAAATAATAAAATCCTGTCATTCAACATAGATAAACCTGGAGGACATAAAGCTAAATTAAATAAGCCAGGAACAGAAAGAAAAACACTGTTATGATCTCACTTATCTTGGAAATCTAAAAACATTGAACTCACAGAAGTAAAGAATGTAAAAGTGGTTGCCAGGGCCTGGAGGAAAGTGGGGTAATGTTCTTCAAAGGACACAAACTTTCAGTTATGAGATGAAAAAGTTTTGGGGATCTAATGTATATCTTCATGACTATAGTTAATAATGTTTTATATGTATAAAATTTGCAAAGACAGTAGACTTTAAGATTCTAACTATTAAAAAAGGTTAACAATGTAAGGTGATAGATATGTTCATTAACTTAATTGTATTAATCATTTCACAACATATATGTATATATCAAATTATTATATTCTATACAATAAAGATGTAGTTATACAGGCCAGGCGCGGTGGCTCTCACCTGTAATCCTAGCACTCTAAGAGGCTGAGGTGGGAGGATGCCTTGAAGTCAGGAGTTCAAGACCAGCTTCGGCAAGAGCAAGACCCCATCTCTATTAAAAATAGAAGGAAATTAGCTGGGCAACTAAAAATACAAAAATAATTAGCTGGGCGTGGTGGTGCACACCTATAGTCCCAGCTACTCAGGAAGCTCAGGCAGGAGGATTGCTTGAGCCTGAGAGTTTGAGGTTGCTGTAAGCTAGGCTGATGCCACAGCACTCTAGCCTGGGCAACAGAGCCAAACTGTATCAAAACAAAAACAAAACAACAACAACAACAACAACAAAATATATATATATATACACACATATATGATTATATATAGTTATACAATTTTTATTTTTTAAAAATTGATGATAGATAAAGAATCATATATATATTTACACACGTCATAAATATAAGAATGGCAGTTTTACTAAACTTCATATTAAACAAATAGTAATAGCTATTAAAAATAAAGTAAGGAGTTTAATATATGCTCAAATATTCTAAGCTGTCCAATGACATTAAGAAAAATAGGGAGTATCTACATTACACTATATTACAGTTGAGGAATTTGGGTATATAAAGTATAAATTGCCAACTCAATTAATACTAAAATAATTAAATTTTCAAATAAAATAACATCAGTTTTTTTTTTATATTTAGGGAGATGCTTAGTGTTCTGATAAAATTACTGAGAATGGATCTCTGTAAAATCCCATTTGAAACCCCCACAGGACTGGAAATCATAAAATCATAATGCTTATAAAGCAGAAAACACACACATCTGCTTGTGGTGGTCTTGGGATTTTCAAACCAAATCACAACATCGACACTACTCTCACACATTTTAGACACTATACAAGAATATATTTTAAAGTCCCACAAAAATGGAACTTTAAAAATAGTTTAATGTAGAATTCCTCAAGAATATGCACAGTGTTCTCATGTCTCTGAAAGCAATGGAAGAGCACTCAGATCATACAGTCCTTTATAAGCCACAAAGAGGACTTTGGCTCTCACTGGAAATGCAAAGGAAGATCTCTGAAGAGGAAGTAGAGTCCTCAGAGAATTCTGGAGCATGGGATGGAGATGCCCCTATGTGGGAGCAAGAGAAAGAAACTTCTCAGGCTTCTCAGAAACCATTCCCATTGCAGCAGAACTTTCCAAAAAATATTTTAAAGTCTGTCTTCCTCCTTTACTGTTGGGCCTAACATACATCAACTGCTTCATTGACTTCTACCTACCTTGGCTTGGCTACTTTCTCATGTGTCTTTTCACATTCCAGGGCTCTTTCTTCTACTCCACACAGATGATCAGGTCTGGGTTAGAGACAGCAAGACCTGAGTTATTAGAAAAAAATTAACATGACTCTTAGTGATGTTCTTCAATTACCACCAAGTACTGTACTCATTAAAGAAGAGAGATCATTATAGAAAATATGAAGAAAGCTAATTCTAAAATAATGTTTACTGACAGAACCTTTAGAATGTTTTGAAAGTATTTTAAATTTGTGGGTCATTAGCTACACCACCCAGTACTGCTGAATCAAAAATGTGATAAAAGTTGGATATTAAGGGGTGGGCAACAGCATATTATGCTATAAAATTTCTATTAATAGAATTGCCACTAATCTATAGTGAAGAATGTGCATAACCTATAGAAATGGGAAGGCCAATGCCAATGGAAAACATCTTGAATATTTTCTTTCCTGCACCAAAAAATCCCAGTTTTCCTTGAATGGAAGGCTCAGAGACATGTTCATGCAGGCTGGGCATGGTGGCTCATGCCTGTAGTCCTAACACTCTAGGAGGCTGAGGCAGGAGGATTGCTTGAGCTCGGGAGTTTGAGACTAGCCTGAGCAAGATTGAGACCCCAACTCTACCAAAAAGGAAAAAAAAAAAAAAAGCAGCCAGGAGCTGTGGCATATGCCTGTAGGCCATGCTACATAGGAGGCTGAGGCAGAAAGGTCCCTTAGAGCCCAGCAGTTGGAGTTTGCAGTGAGCTACAATGACACCACTGCACTCCACCCAGGGCAATGGAGTGAGTCTCTGTCTCAAAAAAAAAAACCAAAAAAACACACACACAAAGAAAACTAAACAACCCTCCTCACAACCCCACCAACCTTCAAAAAAAAAAAAAAAAAAAACACAATAAAAAAGAAAAAACTAGTTCATGCAAACCAAGTTTTCAAAGAACATTTTATAAAGGAAATAAATGAAATCCTTAGTGTGGAATGGGAATTGTGCAATACCCAGAGAGACCAGGTTTCTGTAGCTCCCTGACATTGCATCCCTATATAAACTCCTCCGAGTAGGGCCCAAGCATGCCCACTTCTCTGGAAAGAATTCTAAGGCCACATCCCTGAATGTCACTAGTTCCTGGGGTGGGAGAAACATATTCACCAAGTGGCCATGGACAGTATTCTTTGACTCCAGGTGAAAAGACTGAGTGAAGAGAACTGGCTCTGACTAGTATGACTGACTGGAATTGTCCAATAAGACAATTTTTAACATGTTAATATTCTCTAATGTATTTTCTGAAAAAAAAGCATGGCAGACAATCCACAAAACCAGTGTAACTATTAGACTTTTGTGGATAATAAATGATAAAATTAAGGGAACCAAATTAAGGCACACACATTTTGACTGTTATATTTACATTATACAGAATAAGTTGTGTATATTTCTCAGGGATTTGAAAGGTATCTCTCAAAATCTGATGTGTATAACAATGAACTAGAGATTTTGTTGAAATGCAGATTCTAATCAGGAGATCTGGGGTGAAGCCTAAGTTTCTGAATTTCTTTTTTTTTTTGGAGACAGAGTTTCACTCTGTCACCCTGGCTAGAGTGCAATGGTGTCCTCATAACTCACTGCAAGCTTAAATCCTGGCCCAAAGCAATCCTCCTGCCTCAGCCCCTTGAGTAGCTGGGATTACAGGCATGCGCCACCAGGCTTGGCTAATTTTTTTCAATTTTTTACTAGAGATTGGGTCTCACTCTTACTCTTGCTTAAGCTGATCTTAAACTCCTGAGCTCAAGCCATCTTCCCACCTTGGCCTCTCAGAGCACTAGGATTACAGTTTAAGCCATCATGCCTAGCCAGCTTCTGAATTTCTAACAAGCTCACTAGTGATGCCAGTGCTCTGTACCAAGAAAAATATTTTGTCAAACATCTAGTAGGTGGGAAAGCCTGTGTTTCTCTAAGTTCATCTGTCCAGTAAACAAAAATGAGAGCCATCATTTCCCAAAGCAAGCTGTAAGGGAATCAAAAGAGAAAAAAGAGCTTCCAGATTAAATGTGATGGTTTATGTACATCAGTTGGTAAATCTCCCCAAGGTACTTATTAATAATAAAAAGAAAAGTAATTAACTCCAACATGGAAAAATCTGTCAGAGAACACTTTAAGTGAATCAAAACATCAATTGTAACAGAAAAATTGGTATAAGATGATGATGCACAGGAGGACACAACATCAATGTTGTGAGATTATTTGCCACAAAACGTAAATTATAACCTGAATTTAATTATAAAGAAACATAATCATACTTAATCATAAAGAAACATCAGTTTTATGCAAAACTCAAATTTCAGATACCTCCCAGGTTCTGTAATCTCTAATAGTGTATTTAGATAGTCTTTTTTTGAATCCTAGGAAGCAAACCTCTTTTAATTATTCTTTTTCAGAACTTTCTGAGGTATTCTGGGAAATTAATGCCATCCTCTTTAAATGTGCATTTTCTTAATCCTGTTCTGCAAAAGCAAATGGAGTATCCAGATGGAACCTAAACAGTCCATGTTCCCTTTCCTCACTGATACACAAGGACCCAACCCCATTTTCCATAAGAATCTTGCATATCCCATCAATTTATATTCCCATGCTCATCTGTCACAAATAGAACATTTTTAATACTGCAGCTCATACACTCAGTGAGAATTGATCATAGCATGCAAGAAGCCTGGATGAAAAGAATGGAGAGAAGGCTCTGTTATATAGAGGAGAAGGAATTCCTGGAACTTCCTGACGACATTAAGATGTAAAAAGGAGTTGAGGCCAGGCTCAGTGGCTCATACCTGTAATCCTAGCACTCTGGAAGGCTGAGGTGGGAGGATCCCTTCAGGTCAAGAGTTCAAAACTAGCTGGAGCAAGAGTGAGACCCTGTCTCTACTAAAAACAGAAAGAAATTAGCCAGATGTGGTAGTGTGCACCTGTAATCCCAGCTACTAGGCAGCTGGGATTCAAGAAGAATCACTTGAATCCAAGAGTTAGAGGTTGCTGTGAGCTAGGCTGATGCCATGGCACTCTAACCTAGACAACAGAGTGAGGCTCTGTCTCAAAAAAAAGAAAGAAAGAAAAGAAAGAAAAACTAGTTGAAAGAAACATATTAGGCATGAACATCAGAAGTTGAGATGAAAATGTTTCTAAGTTTTAAACATGTGAGATTTCAGGAGGAAAAGTGGACACAGCCCTTGAACTGGGACACATTCACCCAAGAACAGCCATTTCTTCCTCGTTCTCTTTCTTCCCTGGGATATTTTTGAGATTGTCTCAGCACAACCACTTCACCTGCTACCACCATACTCATAGGCAGAAGAAGGGTCTTGAAGTACAGAAAATGTCTACCTTCCTCTGTCTCTTATCACAGGAGAAATTCAGGAACAATGAGTTCCTACAAGACAACCAAAATGTGTCTCCTTTCCCACCCTTCAGTGACTGCCCCTTCCCCAGACACCAGCAATTCTGCTGCAGCAAGCAGTGTAGATGACATTCTGATGTCAGCCCTACCAGGGTGACAGCCCTACCAGACCCAAGCAGAGCAGGTCCTGCGACCTCACTTTGGAACGAAGTCTGAACTCAACTCTCGTGAATGTGCCTGGGTCCCCTCATGTTTAACTCCGGGTTTCTTTACAATCATGTGGGACACTTAATTAAAAACACTTGGATACTCCCAGCCAGAATAGAGTTTGTGGGGAGGGCTGAGGATGGCATCTCTTCAAGCTGGCCTTGTGATTCTAACAGGAAGACTGGACTGAGAACAACTTACCTGCACATTGTCTCTCGGTCTTTAATGAGCATGTAAATCACTTGGGATTCTGGACCCCACTCTATGTAGTGTGATTCTGTAGGTTTGGAAGTGGTTCATAATTGGCTTCTGTAAGAAATTCCCAGTTAATGCTGATGTTGTTCCCCCAGACCTGTTCTCACTAGCACTCAGCTAGCGACAGCAGGCACAGCACATAGAGTCCCTTGCACCCAAAAACCTACCAACACAAATACTTTTGGTCCAAAGTGAAAACTACCAATCACCATCCTGAAGCATGACATTCATTGCTGGCCCTTTAAAGTTTACAGAGGCTGGAGACAGCAGCAATGTTTGAGTAAGGCTTCATGTACTATGTGCTCAAAAGTATGCTATCGTGTACTTTACTGGGAATCTCATAGTGTGTTAATTTTTCCTCACAACAGCCTGGAAACTGAGTACCAATATCAGCATAATTCCCAGCATTTAGATAAAGGGCCCAGAATTTCCATTTCTTTTTTCTAAATAAAACTATTTTTAAGGCCAGGCGCTGTGGCTCACGCCTGTAATCCTAGCTCTTGGGAGGCCGAGGCGGGCGGATTGCTCAAGGTCAGGAGTTCAAAACCAGCCTGAGCAAGAGCGAGACCCCGTCTCTACTATAAATAGAAAGAAATCAATTGGCCAACTGATATATATATAAAAAATTAGCCGGGCATGGTGGCACATGCCTGTAGTCCCAGCTACCAGGGAGGCTGAGGCAGAAGGATCGCTCGAGCCCAGGAGTTTGAGGTTGCTGTGAGCTAGGCTGACGCCACGGCACTCACTCTAGCCTGGGCAACAAAGCGAGACTCTGTCTCAAAAAAAAAAAAAAAAAACTATTTTTATTTAGAATAAAAACTAAATATAGGCTGGGTGCTATTGCTCACATCTGTAATTCTAGCACTTTGGGAGACCACAATGGGAAAATTGCTTCAGGTAGGGAGTTTGAGAACAGCAAGGGCAATGTGGTGTGACCTCATCTCTACCAAAAATTTAAAAATTAGCCAGTTGTGCTGGTTGGCACCCATTATATCAGCTTCTCAGACGTCAGATGCAGGAGGATCTCTTGAGCCCAAGAGTTTAGGGCTGTATTAAGATATGATGGTCTCACTGAACTCCAGCTTGGGTGAAAAAGTGAGACCCTGCATAAAAAAAATTTAAAAAATAAATAAATAAAACTATCCCGGCATTCAAAGGCAAATGAAAAAGAAAAAGAATATCTAAATATACACAGATGGGAGGGACATATAAATAAAATATAGTTCAGAAGGATTTTTTTCGATGTTCTATTTGTAATTACTTTCTTCTGACTTGTGTAGCAACTACTGCATCTGCAGGAATAGAAGTCAGGCTGCCTAGCAGGATGTCTCTAGAAGCACTTGTTTTAATAAAGAAGAAAAAATTAAGTACCCCAAATATATCATTTTCTTTTTGTTCCCATTTATCTGCATTTTGCTTTCAGGAAATTGTGAGCATAAGTTCTAGAGAGGTAGCAGCAGCAGCCATTCAAAACTCTGATCTCCTTTAATCAATTTCATGGGTCTGGGGGAGATTCCAAGGTAGGGCCTGACCTGGATGGGGCCTAAGAAGAGGCCGGATCTGCAGGGCTGGAGCAGGAAGCAGGTCCTGGGCCTCTCATATCTACGTCAATGGGATATTTCCAGGTCTGTCTTTCCTGAGCTTTCTCAACAGAAACTGTACTCCCAGAGTTTGAATAATTGTAATCTACTGTAGTCACTTCTTTGTTTATTTTATAACATACAAAAACAAGCAATTTAACTAAAATCCTTAGGATTTCTAGGACAATTATACTAGAAGGTAAATATTTATTCTTAGCAAGATAAAAGGAAAAAAAAATAACCTTCATGTAGTGACGTCAGAACTCACACAACATAAGGGAAGTGGTCCAGATGAAGCCAGCATCCCCTGTACATTTCCCCTCTTTGTACTGACCATACTGATGTAGCCATTTATCCATTTTCTCTAGTTAAAAGTTCATGGATGGTAGGGACCATGACTACTTCACCTGTTCTCCATATGAAATGAAATGCCCATATGAAATGGAAACACTTGATTTATCTATTAGTTTGTACCTTCAGACCTCCTCCTTGTTCTTCACCCAAGTACCAGGAAACTGGAACAACTCCCATCTGGGTACCAACGAGAGAGATTCTGTGAGGACTAAAACAAAACCTGGATGACACATGCATTCCTCTTTCGCTAAGACAAAAGGACAAGTAGACCCTGTTGTTAGTCTGACCCCAGTCTGAAAGGACATCCTCAATGTCTCAGAGTCACCCAGATGCTGGTGAGAGGTAAGATCCCCATAGTAATCCGGTCAGAAGAGACTCAGGCTGACTCTTTGGGGTCAGGAGGGAGAAACGGGATTGTGAATTTGACAGCCTGCTTGCCATAACTTTGGAAAATGCAGGGGAAAACCAGTCCTCCTCTGAGTGTTAAAATAATTAAATAAAAGGCAATTAGACTGAAGTGGCTCTAGTGCCCTGGGTTCCCACATAAAAAATACAAAATTGCATTTCTTGTAAATTATTAGCTTAAATGGAAACAAAATTTAGTCCTAAAGAACTACAAACCTGCAATAAACTTCTGATTACATAACCAGGAAATTTCCACCTGGATAGGCCAAATAAGGCGACAATATAAACTGCACCCAATCAATGACTTAATTTGGTTTGCTTCCTCATGTACCTTATAAAAGCCTGGCCTTCAAGCCCCTAGGGTGATCCCCCAAACCACAAACCATGGCTGGGGGCTTCCCCATTCATGAATCTCTGTTTACTTACGTTTTAGCATTCCTAGGTTTAATTTTTAACAGGAGAAAGGAGGGATAGAGAACCCCACAGTTCACGGCTCCTCCCCGCAGGAACCCCGCACACCTAGTGGGGATTCTCCCCTGGGGACGCTCTCGTCCTCCCGCACAATCTGGGGCGACGTGGCTGCCGGACGAGGCTGCGCGCGGGCTTCGCCACGCGGCCGGGAAAGGAGTGCCACTGCGTCCTCCGCCTCCCGCGCCGGGCCGGGGGCGGACATGGCCGCCAGATCGCGCAAGGCGGCACCCTCCGCTCCCTCTGCGGCGCCTGATTGGATAGTTATCACATCAGCGCCCCTGATTGGATAAGGCCCCAGGTCCCACCCCTTGGAGTCCTCAGTGACAGACGATGAGATCCCAGAAATTCATGGCTGCATCAGGACTTCCCTCTCTGTGCCAAGACTTGGTGCTGCTTGGGGGGCATTTGCATTTAGCCTTGTATAGAAGGTTATATCCTCTTGTGAATAATAAATGTAATATTCAAAATTGGAAACAATGCAATGATAATTATTTTTAAATTTCACATTTCATAACCTTCATGGCCTTTTGTCTCTAAGGAGGCAGCCTGAGGTTTGTTTTTTGAGTCTGGCTCTGTCGCCCTGGCTAGAGTGCCGGGGTATCAGCCTAGTTCACAGCAACCTCAAGCTCCTGAGCTCAAGCTATCCTCCTGCCTCAGCCTCCCCGAGTAGCTGGGACTACAGGAGCGTGCCACCATGCTCGGCTAATTATTTCTATTTTTAGTAGAGACCAGGTCTCGCTCTTGCTCAGGCTGGTCTGACTGCTGACCTCAATGTATCTGCCCACCTCAGCCTCCCAGAGTGCTAGGATTACAGGTGTGAGCCACCGCTCCGCCACAATCTGAGTTTTGAAAACAGAGACAATCCTCTGAGGCAGCTATTTCTAAATATGAGCTGCGCGTGTCACTTTAAATTTTATCATATGAACATAGAAGAAAATAACACATGAGTTCATTGTCATAATTTATTTAACCCAATATATCCAAAATATTATTAATGATTATTTTTGGTACTAAATCTTTCAAAGTCACTGTGTATTTTAAGCTTCTAGAACATTCCCATTCAGACAGCACAACTGAATGTACATGTCTGGTTTTCACACTTTTATTTATATTCAGATCGATCAGTCATCCAGGGACTGATTCGTTTGGATTTAAAAGTGGTCTAGTGCCAAATACACTCAGAATGGAAAAATAATTCCTGAGGTAAGGGCTGAACTCTTGAAAATAGGCTGAGGCCCTAGGCTGTACACTGATATCTATCTTCTCCTCCATAGTAAAGAAAGTGAATGTTTCCTTAGTAAATTTAAGTGGATACTTAAATTCACTATGATTGTCATTCTGAAATTAATCTCCTTTACTTGAATTCCAAACATTATTTTCAGGAAAATAAAAATAATTGTTTAAACTATCCATGCATGTGATGATAATTAAATGGAACTTTAATACACTGATCTACTGCTGTACAGAAACTGTGTCTGAGTAGCAGTGACTAGAATGTAAGTATCTGATGCTGAGTGTCTCTTTTTTAATTTTATTGTATTTTACTTTATATATATATGTGTGTGTGTGTGTGTGTGTATTTTTTTTTCTTTTTTTTTTTTGAGACAGAGTCTCACTCTGTTGCCCCAGCTACAGTACCATGGCATCAGCCTAGCTCACAGCAATGTCAAACTCCTGGGCTCAAGCAATCCTTCTGCCTCAGCCTCCCAAGTAGCTAGGACTCCAGGCATGCACCACCACGCCTAGCTAATTTTTTATATTTTTAGTTGCCCGGCTAATTTCTTTCTATTTTTAGTAGAGATGGGGGTCTCACTCTTGCCCAGCCTGGTCTCAAACTCCTGACCTTAAGTGATCCTCCAGCCTTAGCCTCTCAGAGTGTTAGGAATACGGACGTGAGCCAGGGCACCTGGCTGATGCTAAGTGTCTGATATTCTAAATGGTGACAATATCCATTTTGACAGGAAAACTATGCTGTCTGTTGATTATGCTGAGATTGTTTTTTCTGTTGAAATAATAAAATGTGTATTTAAGAAAAGAAGTTACATTTCGATTTGGAATTTAAGATAGCAAAAGAAAATCAAGACCTTTAATAGTTTTTGCTTTAAAAATTGCAATAGCATCTCTCACCTCACATGAATGTCTCCAATAATTATTCAATGCACTTTTTTCATTACTTTTGGATACATCTTTATATATTTATCTTATATTAGAGTATAAATAATAATAATTACATTGTCATAAAATATTATTATTCCATTTTTATTAAACAAATTACAATATAATCATAATCGATGTAGTCTGTACATTGCAGTGCTTTACCTTATATCCATGTGTCAGATTCTGTACCTAAGCTCACAGTAGTATTCTGCAATGATATTGCAGAATTACAATGGTTGGCACCATTGTAATCTGAATTTCTCCATCAAGGGGACATATACAAACTTGTTAATGTAGTATTCTGAGTAAGAATCTTTTTGTGACAGCCTAACAACCTGGGTTTAAACTTTAATTCAGGCAACATACTGGGATGGAAATTATGTGAATATTTTACTTTGCCTTTGCCTAAGCTTCCTTGTCAGTCATGAGAATAATAACATCAACACTTTTGCAGAGTTGAGTATCAGTCTGCAATTGTATGTAACCCTAATTCTAACTCTATAATAATAATGACTCTTACTCTAAGTGCTGTATAAAGCATAATAAATATGCAAACATAATCAACTACTTTGGTAAGAGAATAATAAGTGTTTCTAATAAATTCTAAGTTGAGAATATTGGACGTCAGGAGCCTTTAAGTAACACTTGTCATGTTTCTCTTCAGTGTTCTCTGGCTCCACAGAGGATATTAATATCAGCACAATAACATGGCAGAATGGTCTCCAAGGATCTGGCAATAGGGCTTATCTCCTGACTGTAGTGTATAGTTGGAATCCTGATTAATTTATTTTTTTTATTTATCATTACACTACCTTTAATTAACTAGATACTTGTTAAGGTCCACAGATTTGTCATGCACCTGAAATTAGCTAACACCTTGGCCATTTTCTCTAAAGGAGTCTCCCAGAAAATGGCAATGTTAGAGATGAAACATTTCTGTCGTGGCCCGATTACAGGACGGGGGAGGACACAGACACACATGGACATGACAATGACTCGAGTGACCAATGCACCCATCGCTTTATTATTATACTCCCCAGACCCAAGGTTAGTTCCGTATACGTGAGCATCTGAGCATAGCAGCGATATCAGCCAATTCCGGAGTTGTTTCAAAAGGGAACAATTTCCCATGGTCTCAGACCTCAAAACGGTTACTAAAGTTAAGGTGCCAGACAGAGCTCAAAAGCCAAGGCAGAGATAGGCAACATAAAACAATGCAGCCATGTGAAGTGCTTCTTGGTCTCAATCCCAGGCGGCGGCTCCTTCCTGGCCCCGGCGGTTGTGCCTGTCTTAGGTCGCCCCCTCCATGGGGAGTCTTACCCGCCATTGACTACCAGCCATCAATTGGGGGCCAGTTCTTGGGAGAGTTCTTCTTGTTCTTGTTCTCATGGCCTCCAGACTCCCACCTTAGGGCCCTCCATGTGGGAGTTGGGAGCATTTGCTTATGTGCAACAACTCAGGCCTCTTATCAAGTCACAAGGCAGCAACTGTGTCTGAAGAAAATGCCGACTGCTGCTGCCTCAGGCAGCACACCTACATTACAGACTATAGTGAATGATTAGTATAAGGCATAACACCAGAATCAGCCCCCAACACATTTCTTCAATGATTCCGAATGTAAACTTAGGTCTTAGTTTTATAGAATAATGAGAGGTGTGTCCTTTGGATTTTCCTGCAGTTGAGGTATCTTCCAGGTCATTGCAATCTGTCCCTGGAACTCCAGGCGATCACAGATTAAAGTAAAAGCTCACAAAAGCTCCATTGAGCTCACAAGTACAATTCAGCATTCTTTGCTGTATATTGCAAATTATTTTAATTTATCTTTCTATATATATATTTGTGTAAAATAGAGCAAGAAGGAAACCACAAAACAAAGGATTGAGATTTTTTTTCTTCTTTTGAGACAGTGTGTCATTCTGTTATTCTGAGTAAAGTGCCCGGGCCTAGCTCACAGCAACCTCAAACTCCTGGGCTCAAGTGATCCTCCTGCCTCAGCCTTTGGAGTAGCTGGGACTACAGGCACCAGCTACCACCCCTGGCTAATTTTTTGTTTCTATTTTTAGTCGCCTGGCTATTTTTTTCTATTTTTAGTAGAAACGGGGTCTCCTCGCTCTTGCTGAGTCTGGTCTTGAACTCCTGACCTCAAGCAATTCCCCCACCTCGGCCTCTCAGAGTGCTAGGATTATAGGTGTGAGCCACCATGCCTGACCTAGGATTCAGATATTGTTCTTGTGTATTTTATGACAAAGTGATGACCTTATTACCATACTTATAAGTTTGCAGCCTTCCTAGTATTTTGGGTCTTCAACTTTCTGAGCTAGTGGTTCTGTGGTTTTCATCTTGTACAGACAGGCAGTGAGTCTAACACATTTATAGGGCCAATATTTCTCCCAGATTCTCTCCTAAGGCCAGAGCTACCCAAAGAATTCTTATGTTAAGAAACTTTGTAACTTTTCTCACCCTCTCCACCTTAACAGTTTATGTGTTTTCTTCCAATGAACCCAGGTGATGGCTGGTGAACATCACTGCGCTAATAAATTTGTGCTTCCCAACTATCCTCCCCTTTGTTCTCATGGAGCAAGACTACCATGTATTCAGACTCTGTTCTGCCTGCTGCAAACTGAAGGCCCAATTCCCTAATCTGGTAGTAGACCAGAATTATTAATATTTTTCTTTCTACAATGTGCAGTTATGTTTATTTTTTTCTAGCAGCTTGAGATATAATTTACATATTATATAACCATACCTTTTGGATTATACCATTCATTTCATTTTTAGTGTATTTATAAAGCTGTGAAAACATTCTGACCATTTAGTTTTTGAACATTTTTGTAACCCAAAAAAGAACCCTCACACCCTGTTCCAGTCACACCACATCTGTTCCCCTCCACAGTTGTAAGCAACCACTAATCTACTTTCTGTGTCTGTAGATCTGCATATTTGGATTTTCCATAGCAATGCAATCAAACACTAGGTGCTCTTGCGTGACTGGCTTCTTTCACTTAGCATAATCTCTCCAAGAT